TCCTCCTCCTCCTCCTCCTCCTCCTCCTCCTCTTCTCGTGCACCTTTTGGCGCCCGCGGTGGCAGATCAGGGGCCTTGCAGGGCCCTTTCAGGCTGCCTTTCCTGCATTCCTCGACACCCTTATTTTCATTGCACTCCCTCACTGCCGTCCGCCCGACAGTGGGGGGGGCGCTGCGCCACTCTGGGAGAGACCGGCACGCGGGGGAGAGCTCGGCGATGTCCACGTCGAGGCCGTGGATCTATGGACAGAGGAAGAGGGAGCAGTGTTGGCCGAGGCCGCCCAGGAATGGGAAGCTCCAGTCTGCCCCCCACGCCACCCCTCTCGGCAGAGAAAAGAAATGCACGTGCACCGATCATGGCCAAGCCCACCCTGGGCCCAGGAGCACTACATTCGCCCTCCTTGCCTGGCCAGGGGGGCACACGCGCCGATCCTGGGCTCAGGCGGGGCCTGGCCAGGATCGGTGCACGTGCGTACCTCTCGCCGCCCGATCTCGGCGCCTTGGGAGTCGCTCGAGGGCCTTCCCGCGGCCCCGCCCCCGTGTGGAACGAGCTGCTCCCCCTTGGCGTCCCGCGCTCCGTGACTCGTGCTCGGCCCTCGGCTTTTGTGCGGTGGCCCAGAAATCGGGGGGGCCGCTGAGGAAGTGCCGTGCCGAACCAACGCCACGGCCCGCGCGGCAGCCCGAGTGCGCCGTCGCCTCCCCTCTGCTCCCTCGCACTCCTCGCCTCCTCCTGCCTGTCCTCCTCCCCCCCTCTCCTCCTCCTCCAGCCGCCGCTGCTGCTGCCGCTAACGCCGCTCCTCCTCCTACTCCTCCTCCTCCTTCTCCTCCTCCTCCTCCGACTCCTCCTTCTCTTCCTCCTCCTCCTCCTCCTTGCCCTCCTCCTCCTCCTCCTCCTCCTCCTCCTCCTTACCCTCATCCTTCCCCTCCTCCTTCAACATCTGCTCCTCTTCCTCCTCCTCCTCCTCCTCCTCGTCCTCCTCCTTCTCCTCCTCCCCACCCTCTTCTTATTACTTTTCTTCTTGCCCGCTCTATTTCCCGCTCGCCTCCCCAATCACCACCCCCCCACCCATTCCTCCCCCATGTTTTAGTCTTGGTTACGCCCCTCGACGTCATCGTCCTCCTCGTCCTCCTCCTCCTCAAATTTCTGCCCCTGCCAATGCGTCACTGCTCCCACTCCTGTGCTCCTGGTCTCCTCCATTCGCGCCTTCTGTGTTCAATCCGCGCTCCCGCGTCACAGTCTGCCGTTCAGACCGCGCTGAGCGTCCGCCAGCGGTGCGACCTCAAACATGTCTTCCTTGTCTTCTCACACGCTCCAGCTGCCGCTGCTCTTTTCGCTGCCACCCGCTTCTAGCAGCCCTGGCGCAAGCGCCGCGGATGCCGAGGCCGTCCTCCGCGTCGAGTCGCAGGAAAGGCGCCTCCGGCAGAGCGGTAGGATCGCCCTGCCCCTGAGAACTCCCAAGCAGGACGGGGCAGCGAGAGGCAGCAGGAAGGACGAGGGGGAACGTTAGTGGGGGAACGGCTCGGGGGGGAACGGCGAGCTGAAATCGGGGATATATCTATCTATCTATCTATCTATCTATATATCTATCTATCTATCTATCTATCTATCTATCTATATACATACACCTGTCTATCTATAGATCTATCTATCTATCTATCTATCTATCTATCTATATATGTATATATAGATACATATTTTTATCGCCAATAGATCGGAGAGAAGCCCCCCAAAAACAAATCCGCACGGTCTTGCGCGGTGGGGGCTATCGACACCCGATTTGCGATGAGTAAGCGATTGGGGGTCGATGCCCACCCCTAGGCCTATCCCCCCCTAGCGTTGCCACTAAAAGGAGGAAGGTGGCTAGACGACGACGCACGCCTCCGGAATCTCACCAGCCCTTCGGGCGACAGGTGGTCTAACGATGACTCCCTTTCCTCTTCCAAAGTCCCGTCTTCCCCTTCGGGGAGGGGTTTATCCCTCCCCCTACCCCCTCCCCTGGACCTGGACGGGGGCGGTCGCGAGCGGTCAGAGCGGTCCATTTTCGGCCCCTGGGAGGGCCAATGTTTGACACTCCTTAAGAGGATCGTGGCCTCCGAGGGGGGGCAAATCTAGGACCCCCCTCTCTTTTGACCGACCGCCTTCAAGATGGCCCAAAGAGGCGCTCCAGGGCTCCCGAGAGAGGGCCCAAGACAGCGCCTTTGGGCCACAAAAGGGCACCAAGAAGGTTCCAAGAAAGCCCCAAGACGGCTCCAAGAGGCGCCCGAGCGGCCTCAGAGAGCCCAAGATGACCTCCAAGATGGATCAGATGACCTCAAGATGGCTCCCAAGATGCTCCAAACGGCCCCAAGACCGCTCCAAGAGCGCTCCAAGAGAGCCCCCAGAAGAGGTTTGCGGGCTCCTGAGGAGGGAGCTGAGTTGGGAGCCCCCCCCATCCTGTAATCGATGGCCTCCAAGATGATCCCAAGAAGCCTTCCAGGGTTACCAAAAGGGTTCCAAGAGGACCCTCAGAACTCCAAGAGAGCACCAGCAGAAGGAACAGCCGCAAGAATACCTCTAGATGGTTCCATGAGTCCTCGTCCGCGTCGTCCTCATCCTGATCCACGTCCTCCTCGTCCTCGTCCTCATCCGCGTCCTCATCGTCCTCATCGGCCTCCTCGTCCTCCTCGTCCTCCTCCTCCTCCTCCTCCTCCTCCTCCTCCTCCTCTTCCCCTCGCCCTCACGCGGCCCCCAGGGATGGCCCGAAGAGGCCTTCCAAGGCCACCCCCTTGCTCCCAGAGATCTCTCTGCTCACCCTGGTTGCTCATTTTGTTTCCCTAGATGTGTCTCCTCGTCTATTTCCCCGTCAGCTCTCATGGGCAAAGCTTCTGAATACGCAAAGCGTGAAGAACCCCCAAGCCCTCCTCCTCTTCGCCCTCCGGGAGCGAACCACGCGGAGGAGGGGTCGGCAGCGAGCGACGACGGGAAGGGGCGAGGGATGGACGGAGGGGGTGTAGGAAGGCCGAGAATCCTTACGGGAGGGAGTGAGCGAGGGGAAGGAGAAAGGGAAGGGGTGGGAGGCGGATGGGAAGGGAGGGAGAGGGGGGGGGAGGGCGGAGGGAGCGTGGAGAGGGGAGGGGGGTGGGGGAGAGAAACCATGCGAGGGGACGGAAGGGACGGATGGGGGACAAAGAGGAGTACCCATGCCGCTGCTCTGCGGACCTCCTCTGGGGCCGCCGTGTCTGCCCAGGATCTCGAGGAGCACCCAGCGGTGGCGACGAGAGTGACCTCCTGGACGAGGAGCGGCAGGCGCATCCCTTCCTCTCTCGAGGGGGGCAGGCAGGGGAGGAGGCAGGGATGGGGAGGGGGTGTGGGGGCGGGGGCAAGAGGGGAAGCAAGGCGCGGAACGACGCGAGGTCTGGCGTCAGGTCGGGCCTGTCCCCCCTATAGGCGGATTTTGGGCGAAGAGCGAACATTACACCCAACATGCACCAGAAATATTCAAAGATGGTCCGCAACAAATCGTCCCCATACGATTTTGTGACTATTTCTGAATTTGAGCAGGGACCGACAGTCCCGGCATTCCTATAGTCCTGCCACGAAATGTTCTTAGAACCCAGAAATGTTCGAAGAGCAAAAACAATGTTCTTAGAACGCATTCCCGATGTGCCAAAACAAGGCAGTCCCAGCCAGAAATGTTCTAAGAACATCTCCTGGAAGCCACAAAAAGGTTCTTAGAACGTTGTTCGGTAGGGCTACAGGCGAGCCAGGACGCTTCGCCACTGCTTGATGAATGCTCCCCCCCTGCAGAGGGACAGGCCCGCCTTAAAGTCTGGCGGCCTCGGGCCCCCGGGAGCGCCAGCGGGGCGCCTCCTCCCAGTAGGCGGCCAGCCGCTGGTCGGCCTCGGCACGCGGCGGCCCCCCGCGCGCTCTGCCGGGGGGGCCTCCGAGGGCACCCGCCGGCCTCCTCCCCCGATGCCTTCTCCGCCGCACGCACGGCCCGTCACCGCACTGATTAGACGAGCGCGTTCCGCGCCTCGCAGAGTAGCTACGCGCAAACGGCCTGGATCCCCCGCGGGGGATCTGCGACACATTGCATCAGAGCAAACACGTGTTTTTCGGACGTTGGCGGGTAGGCACTGTGCGACTGGTGGAACGCGCTCGGTGACGCACTGTCTTGGGACCCCGGATGCCCCTGTCGCCCGAGACGTCCTCGGAGAGCGATCCGAGTCCCAAGCCCGTGCGGTGGCCCCGAAGCCCCATCGACTCACCACACGGTGTGGTCACCACCCCGTTGGGGGCCCCCGAGGGCACCTGCTGGTCTCCGGTTGCTTCTTCCCTTTTCCCGCAGGCGACAGCGCCCTGCAGTGGGGGCGCGCATCAAGAAACCATGTGCTTTTCATCAGGGTGCCCTGGGTCTCCTCGCTCCTCGCGCTGCGCGGTGACTTCCCGCGGCCGTTGAAGCAGCTGCTGCGTTCGGGGTGGCCCCCGCCCCGTCACGCCGGCTCTCGCCAGAGAGTAAGGAGCTGTCGCCAGATGTCCCTGTTGCCTCTCGCGGCGTGCCGCCGAAGATGGTGTGACAATGTCTTCCGTCGCAACACGGCAGAGGCAATCCGCACGGGCGCTCGAGTTGTCGGGCGCACTCGACAGACTCGAGCGTGGACGTTGGAAAGAGGATGCGGTGACTCGACCAACTCGGCATATTGCCTGACGCATGGGAGCTTTTCGCAGGATGTTTTTTATATATAATTTCAACCACAGAGGTTCCCACATCCTGTCTCACACAGGATGTGGGAACAGGATGTGTGAGACAGGATGCATGGGAGCTTTTCACAGGATGTGTGAGATTGTTTCAAGGATGTGCGAGCGAATGCTTTGTTTTTTCACTTCAACCACAGGCAGGTTCCAGTGCGCAAAAGCAGGGCCTGGGCCGAGGCGCCTCTGTGGGAGCGAGGCGGGCACCCACACCGGCCGAAAGGACATCAAAAAACACACCCCGCGCGGCCCGCGTGCAGAGGGGCCTCTGCGCGGGCTCCCCGCGAGAGGCGACGCGTGACGAGAGGGGGGAGCTGACTACCTACCAGACCCCACCCCAACCCAACCCGAAGACCCGAATTTCGGGTTGGGTCCCGACCCCCCCCCCCACTAGAAATCGAGGGTAAATCTGAGACTTCGGGTTGGGTTGGGGTGGTTTGGTGGGCGGTGAGAAGCAGAGCAGAGGAGGGCACGGACCAGCGGACGAGGGCGCGGGCCGCAAAGGCGAGCGCGGCCTTCGCCGGCCTTCGCTGGCTCTGCCCCGCTCTCGCGGCGGCCCCTCGCCTTCCGTGCTCTTCCCTCGCTGCTCTCAACGCTCGGCGGCCTCCGCGCGTTTTACTCCGCCCGACTACTCGGTGGGGCTCGCCTACCCCGCCCGATTCCTGCTGGGGGGGCACCGCCCATTCCCCCCACGGTCGGAAACCTTTATAGCCTGTCACGGCGGCGGCGGCGGCGGCCCGGGCGACACGCTGTGCTGCGAGTGGATATAGCGTGCCGCTCCGTTCTGCGGCCCGGGAGGCTGGAAAACGCTCGGGGCGTTGACGACTGGGGGCCGGGACGTGGTTAGCGTGTCGCGCCCAAGCGCGGTTGGCCAGAACTGGCGGCGCGGCACGCTGACCAAGAGTTCCTGGCCGTACCTCCTCGGGAGCGCGGCGCGGCGTGACCTCCCGAGCACAAGAGAGGACGCCGCGAAGGATCAGAAATGAGGCCCTGCAGCAGAGCCCGTCTTGCTGCAGAGCTTGCCCGCCGGCGCACCAAAACCTGGGGCGGCGACGCGATGTCGAGTGAGCAGGGTGATACCCCTTCACAGACAAGCAGATGGCGCCACAGAGCACGGTGGCCCCCAAAGCCACGACCCACGCCGACCAGCGCAGGCGATTTCTCACCCTGGACACACACACACAAATGACTGCTGGGCGAAGGCCGGGGGGGATAACGTTCCACCGCCACTTGGCCGATGCAACATCTACTTGTGCGCTGCCCTCACTCCGTCCAGTATAGACCGACCTGGGATTCCCCAAGAGCGGCGTACTTGTAATATGTCGTGTCGCTTAAAAGACGAAGGAAAACCCTGAGCAACTCTGACATACAAATCGCTACGGAAAGTTGGGCCAAGCTGCGCTGCAACCGTGATGCGAGGAGTGAGTACATGGCATGTACACCTTACCAGCATACCATGCTGAACTAGAAGGAGCCTGGAGCCCGATTGGCTTTCAATGACATTGCATTCGCTGTTCGGGTTTGCGGTTCGAGGTACCAACACGCTTCTGAGCACTATGCGTACATTTCTCGTGCGACCCACATTTAAACATCTGTTGCGACGACGTCAAATTTCTCGATTCACCATGCCCAACCTGGGCTGTCTGGAGCACCGCTGGCAATTTGTGGAATTTCGGACAACGCATCGCAGCGGCCTGTTGCATCCCATTGTGCAATCAGACTCTATGTAGCTCTGGCTCCCTGCACTTTGGGAGACGCTGTGGCGTTTGCAAAAATCCAAGCGCCATCGCATTCAACGAGATGAGGCACTTCAGGAGTTTCACGGTCTTCACAAGGCTGTCCCTCAAATCGCATGACGTTCAATAAGCAGCGCGGAGTGGGGGCGCCTGCATCAGCGGCGGTGGGCGTGAACAGAACCAGAGCTCGGGTGCCAGTGCAGCTGCGACTACCTGACACATGCTATCAACGGCTCGGAACAAAAGGCCTTGTTCCACCTCGCACACTAGCGAAAACGACAAAACGAGAGAAAGGGGGAAAAAGAGATGCAGAGAGAGATAGAGAGACAGACAGAGAGAGCGACAGAGAGATAGAGAGAGAGAAGGATCAAGACGACGAAAACGGCAACGGTGAACAAACGGCGAAAAGGCGCCACGCCTTTAAGCACAGAAGCGAATGCAACACAAAATGCGGCCTCCCCTCAGCGGCCCAGAACTCTGACATTCACGCAACAGACGTTCTGCGAGGGACCTCAGAGGCGCAGGATGAGGACTATGAGGAGAAATCACTCCTCCACCCTCCGCCCTGCCCCGAGGGAATGACGAGGAAGAGGCGGCGGAGCCGCCTCCGCTCGCGCGCTGCCCAGCAACTCTCTCAGCTGCGCGACCTGCCAACGCGCGGCGGCCGGCGTCGACGCGCCTGGCTGGTTCAACGTCCCTCCTCGCTGCCATGCCTCAACGGCTGCTGCTGCTGCTGCTCCTGCTCCTCCTCCGCCCGCGGGGTCGCCGAGGGGTCGGCTCGCCTCCTGGATGCCCGGCCCTCTCGTTTGTCTCTACCGGATGAGGATTTCGGTGACCCAGCGCGTCTGCGCCACCTGCTCCTCATGCTCCTCCTGCTCCTCCTGCTCCTCCTCCTGCTCCTCCTCCTCCTCCTCCTCCTCCCCTTCTCCTCCTCCTCCTGCTCCTCCTTCTCCTCCTCCTCCTCCTCCATTCCTTTTCTTTATAAGCAACTTCTCCCTGTCGCACCCCGCGGCCAGTTTTGAGGGTGGGCCAAGCGTTTCGCTCGAGACTTCCTCACCATGTATGACAGTGAAGCTTAAACATTGACAACAGCTTCACGGACGGATGGCAGGTGGTTTTCGACATGTGGCTCTCGAATCAGCGCCGCGCACATTCGATTCAACAAAACGCAAGACCTTCGCGGATTGAAGGCGATCCGTCCTCAAGCCGTGGCTCTCGCTTTCGCGCCGCGCACCTTCGTTCTTAAACATCTGCAAGAGCTGCACGGGTCGAGGGCGACCCGTTTTCAGAATGTGGCTCTCGCCTAAGTGCCGCGTGCACTCGTTGTACAAAGTTGCAGGAACTTCACGGATTGAGGGCGGTTCCTTTTCAAACCGTGGCTCTCGCCTTAGCGCCGCGCGCATTCTTCTTCTTTACATTTCGCAGCAGTTTCACGGATTCCCATGATCAGCGTACCAGAAATGGTGTTTGGGGAAAGATTCGGGGTTATGAGGGCGCAACAACTGCGTTGATTCGTGGAGTTGAAGTCCCAGGAATGGCGTTCTGGCACGATTCAGGATCGTCAAGACGAAACAGTCACGTTGATCCGTGGCGTTGGAATCCCGAGAACAATGTTTTGGCATGCTTCAGGATCTTCGAACGGTTGTCTTCCAACGAGGTAGTTCCCTCAGTGGAAAGGAACCGTTGCAGGGGCCTATGAAGAGGGAGCTTGGAGGGAGGGTTTGTTCAAACATCTTTGATGACTCTTGGATTCTCACTGGTCCCCCTCCTCCTCCTCTTCCTCCTCCTCCTCCTCCTCCTCCTCCCTCTCCTCCCCTTCCTCTTCCTCTTCCTCCTCCTTCCCCCCTTGTGAACCACTCCTCCGCGGGCCGGGCGTTCTGCCCGACACCCCCTCGCCGTTCGTGGCCCTGGAGCCCGAGGTGTGCAGCGGCTTCCAAAGGATGCAGCTCTCGCCGGGGCGCCGCGCACGCAGAGCCGCACCGGAAGCGGAACCCAGAGCCTCGAGGATGGAGCGCATGTCCGACGAAGGCATCTATACACCACCACCGTGCCAGGCCAGGGCCATCCTGGGCCCCAGGATGGTGTGTAGACCCTCTAGGCCTCGGCCAGGAGGGCGTATGCACCATCCTGGGGCCCAGGATCGCCCTGCCTTGGCACGGTGGTGGTGTATAGATGCCTTCTGCGAAGCATGCTGTTTGCAAAATGGGCCTCTCGCCCTGGCGACGCGCACATTCGCCTCGCAGGTTTGAGGCAATGCCTACAGGACGGAGGGCGGACCCTCGTCAAAATCCTCCTCGCGATCTTCGTCCCGGTCCCCATCCCCGTCCTCCTAATCCTCCCTCCTCCCTCCTAGATCTTCCATCCTCTCCTGCGCAAGCCGTCTCTCCCCTCTCCCGCCACATCCTTCATTCCTTATCCATCCGTCCACTCTCTCAATCCGTCCCCCTCCCTATCTCTTGCTATTCCTGCCCATCCTCCTACTACTCTTCCCTCCTCCCTTCCTCTCACTTCGCTCCGCCCTTTCTCCTGCTTCCCCCTCCTCCCTCCTGCCTCCTTCCCTCCCTCCTCCCTCCTCTCTCCCTCCTCCTCCTCCTCCTCCTCCCTCCCTTCCCCCTCCTCCCTCCTCGCTCCTACTATTCTTCCCTCCTCCCTCCTGCCTGCTTCCCTCCCTCCTCTCCTCTTCCCTTGTCCCTCATCATTCTTCAAATTCCATGGTCTATGCCAATTGCCCGGAGCGGGCAAGAATAAGACACTCCCTAACGGGTGTGCGGTCAAAGAGACAGAGGGCGAGCACCAAGGGTTTGACATACACGATTTGAATGGCAAGGGGGCAAGAAACAAGAAACGCTCTTGAGATACGTGTTGCTGTCTCCTTTCTCCTCCCCCTGTCCTTCCGTCCTCTCCCCTTTTCCTTCCTCCATTCCTCCTCGCTCTTCCCAGTTGAGGGCCGCATTCTGCATGATCAAGCGCGATCTGATCCAGTCAGATATGCCCTTGCGCTAATCGGGAAAAAACCCTCCTGCCCATGGGGTCAGTTCATAAACTTACAAGACTTGTGCAAGATGTTGGGAGAAACTCATTGGCGGCCGGCATGGGGTCAAGTACAATTGGCCAGCAGAACATGATTGTTGCTGTTACTGCTCCTATTCGCTTCCACCTTATCCTGCTCATTATCCTCCCCTTGTTGATGCTCCAACTCTGCCGCTATTGCGCGGCACCTCCTGTTTTTTCACCTCGCACATCAACTGGGAGCGCTCCTGAAGCGCAGCGGGAACGGGGCGCTAGCGTCCATAACTTCGAATACCGTCGCATTAACAACATGATTCCTGAAACACAATTCCAGACAGCGAAGCCTAATCTGAAAACTTCATTGGTTTTGAGTAGTGAGCATCAAATATGCTTCCACGCACGGGCTACTCATCCCATAATAAATGTCATCACGAGCAGCTTCTGACATGTTCTCTCTCTCTCTCTCTCTCTCCCTGTATCTCTTACTCCGCCGCGGAACTAATAAGAGCTAGTTTAAGTCGAAGGTAGAAGACCCGTGGCTAGCTTAAAACAACGGGGTGCGGACACGTGAATACGCGCGCGTGTGTGCATATGTATGTAGCGGTGAGCGTGTGTGTGTGTGTGTATGTGTGTGTGTGTGTGTGTGTGTGTGTGTGTGTGTGAGAGGACGTGTGCGTGTGTGCGTGTGTGCGTGTGTGCGTGTGTGTGTGTGTGCCCGTGTGCCCGTGTGCCTGTGTGTCTGTGTGTGTCTCTGTGTGTATCCCGGGCGCGCCATGCACCCCAAGTGGTGCGCCCCCCTCCCTCTCTTGGGCGCGCCATCCTTCCCAGGTGGCGCGCCTCCTCCGTGATGCGGGCCGGCTGCCTGGCTGCGGCCCCTTTCAGCAACCTGCTCGTGCACCAGCTAGGTGCTCTCCCCGTCTTCCGCCCTGGCGCGGGGCGTGCCACACACCCCAGGTGGTACGCCCTCTCCGCTTGCCCCCGGGCGCACCACCTACCCCACGGGGCGCGCTCGCCTCCCTGTGGCACCGCCTCTCCGCGCGGGCCCGCTGCTGAGCCACCTGCTCGTGCGCCAGTCGGGTGCCTCCCCTGCACCCGTCGGGGCGCTGCTGCCGCCTGGGGCCGCTCGGCGAGCGCGTCGCCGACGCGTGGCCGCACGCCCCCGTCAGCCCTGCCCCTGCGACAGCTGGCTCGTGGCGAGGGCAGGGGAGCGCCTGGCTGCCACGCTGACGTGGGCACCTGGCGCACGGACGCCGCCCACCGTCTGCGCATCCCGACGGCTCAGCTGCGGAGCCTTCGCCCCCCCCCCCTCCCCCGTGAAACAAGACACCGCCCGCCCTCGGGGCTGTGATGCGCTCGCCGGCCAGGGCCTGGCACTGCTGAGCTCCCCTCCCGCTCGCCTGCTGCCCTGCGCGCTGCTCCCGCGCTGCAGCTGGCGATCGCGCTGCCGCCCTGGCTTCACAGCCGCCCTGCCCTCGCCCCGGCGGCTGGCTTCGGTTCATCGCTGCCCTGCCCCGGCCCCGCAGCCATAGCGCGTTGCGGACGTGTCTCGCCTCCGCCGCCAACAGCCCGCCCTCCGCCTTCCGCCGCCCGCCCTGCTCTCGCAAAGCCTACCCTGCAGCTTGCTCTGCCGTGCCCTTGTGCACCTTGCCCTTAAGGACCTCGTTGGCTCTGCTGCCGCTGGCCCCCGCCTCCCCTCCCTGCCTCTGCCGCCCGGCAGCCTCGCTGCCGGAGCCTTCGCCATGCCCCCACTTGGGCTGGGCGCCGCCTGCCCTGGGCCGCGATGCTTGGCGGCGCGCACAAGGGGGTGGAGGGAGGGGGGAGGGCTTCTTAGAAGGAGGCTGCTTCTCAGAAGGATACGGCCCGCGCCTCCTAAGAAGCAGGGGTGCTTCTAAGAAGCCCTCCCCCCTCTCGCCACCCCCCCCTGCGCGTGGCTGAGATGCTTGCACCAGCCTCCACCTGGCACCGCTGCCCCCTCCGCCCCCTCCTCTTTTACCCGCACGCCTGCGGCTCTGCGCCTGCCCCCCTCCGCGCCGCCGCTGCCATCTGCGCTGCCGTCCGGGCCTCGCGGTCGCCCTGCCCCCGCCTCCAGCAGGCTTCGGGTCGCCGCCGCCCCTTTTCGGGCCCGCAGCTTTAGGTTGCGCCGCGGGCGCGCTCATGCCTCCGCCACTGGCTGCGCCGCCCCCCCCCCCCCCGATGGGCCGTCCCGACGCCCTTTTGGTCCGCCACTGCAGCCTGCTTCAGCGTAGCCCGCCCCGCAGCCGCTCACCTGGTCCCTCAGAACTTTGCCCGTCGGGACCTCCGTCGGCTCTGCTGCCTGGACTCTTCGCTTTTCCTCCTCACTTGCTGATCCTCGGTGGCCCGCACGCCGACGCCCCGGCTCCCTGGTGTGGTTGCGACGCCACCCCGGGCCCGCTGCCAGGGATGCTGTGCTGGCTCTGTCGCCCCGGGTGCCCCGCCGCGGTCCCCTGGTGCGTGAACGCGCTTGTCCTCTCCCTTCCTCCCGTGGCCGCCCCTTGTCCGCCTCCTTTTCTTCTTGCGTCCGGGCAATTCGCAATGCCGTCTCCCGGCTTGCTGAGCGCGCGTGCGGATTGCCTCTGCGGCAATGAAAAATGGAGAGAGAGAGACAGAGAGAGAGAGAGAGAGCAATGAGGAACCCGGTCGGTGGTCCCGGGGGGGAACGTGTAGGCGCGCCAGGATAGAAAGAGGGAGGATTCCTGGTCTAGGCTCACGAGGGAACGTTGGGTTAAACGCGCTGAGCCAAAACAACTACAGAGAGAGAGAGAGAGAGAGAAACACAAAAAATCCGCTGGCCCCCTTGTGGGGGCACCAGGCTGTAGGCGCGAGGTTCGCAGTTTCCTGTACCAGTTGTAGCTTGTAGTTTCCAGTGTTGCAGTTCTGCTTCTTGCTGGTTACTGTAACTAGTTGACTTATTGCTGGTTACTGTAACTAGATGATTGACCGCGCGAGGGGGGGGGAGGCCCAAACGGAAAATTTAGCACCCCCTGGGCGCGTTGTCTGAATTGCTGGGGGGGCTCGAAATCGACACCCCTCACGCAGATCCGCGGGGTCAGGGTCCAAAAGCACAGGGGATTTGCCACATTTCTGAAATTCGGTGCCACCCCTCACGCAGATCCGCGGGGTCAGGGTCCAAAAACACAGGGGATTTGCCACATTTCTGAAATTCGGTGCCACCCCTCACGCAGATCCGCGGGGTCAGGGTCCAAAAACACAAGGGATTTGCCACATTTCTGAAATTCGGTGCCACCCCTCACGCAGATCCGCGGGGTCAGGGTCCAAAAACACAGGGATTTGCCACATTTCTGAAATTCGGTGCCACCCCTCACGCAGATCCGCGGGGTCAGGGTCCAAAAACACATGGGATTTGCCACATTTCTGAAATTCGGTGCCACCCCTCACGCAGATCCGCGGGGTCAGGGTCCAAAAACACATGGGATTTGCCACATTTCTGAAATTCGGTGCCACCCCTCATGCAGATCCGCGGGGTCAGGGTCCAAAAACACAGGGGATTTGCCACATTTCTGAAATTCGGTGCCACCCCTCACGCAGATCCGCGGGGTCAGGGTCCAAAAACACAGGGGATTTGCCACATTTCTGAAATTCGGTGCCACCCCTCACGCAGATCCGCGGGGTCAGGGTCCAAAAACACATGGGATTTGCCACATTTCTGAAATTCGGTGCCACCCCTCACGCAGATCCGCGGGGTCAGGGTCCAAAAACACATGGGATTTGCCACATTTCTGAAATTCGGTGCCACCCCTCACGCAGATCCGCGGGGTCAGGGTCCAAAAACACATTTGCCACATTTCTGAAATTTTGCCACCCCTGAAATTCGGTGCCACCCCTCACGCAGATCCGCGGGGTCAGGGTCCAAAAACACAGGGATTTGCCACATTTCTGAAATTCGGTGCCACCCCTCACGCAGATCCGCGGGGTCAGGGTCCAAAAACACATGGGATTTGCCACATTTCTGAAATTCGGTGCCACCCCTCACGCAGATCCGCGGGGTCAGGGTCCAAAAACACAGGGATTTGCCACATTTCTGAAATTCGGTGCCACCCCTCACGCAGATCCGCGGGGTCAGGGTCCAAAAACACAGGGGATTTGCCACATTTCTGAAATTCGGTGCCACCCCTCACGCAGATCCGCGGGGTCAGGGTCCAAAAACACAGGGGATTTGCCACATTTCTGAAATTCGGTGCCACCCCTCACGCAGATCCGCGGGGTCAGGGTCCAAAAACACAGGGGATTTGCCACATATCTGAAATTCGGTGCCACCCCTCACGCAGATCCGCGGGGTCACGGTCCAAAAACATATGGGATTTGCTACATTTCTGAAATTCGGTGCCACCCCTCACGCAGATCCGCGGGGTCAGGGTCCAAAAACATAGGGGATTTGCCACATCTCTGAAATTCGGTGCCACCCCTCACGCAGATCCGCGGGGTCAGGGTCCAAAAACAGTGGGGATTTGTCACATTTCTGAAATTCGGTGCCACCCTTCACGCACATCCATCGCAAGGCGTGGTAACCCAAACTGCGAGAACTCCCTCGGCCCTTTAATCGCAAGGTGTGGTAACCAAGCCCGTAAACCATACACGTCTTACCAATCGCCAGGTGTGGTAACCCCTCTTGTGATCAGTTGGTTTTGCTGATTGCGAATCGGCTTCGCATGAAGTTTCGATACTGCTTCACGACAGCGCCAAGGCCTCATGACTTAGCTCTTCCATGGCCCATTCTCAGAGAGAGGGGGCCGGCGGCAGGGGGCGAAGACCTTACGGATAAAAGGGGAGAAAGAGAGATAGAGAGAGAGAGAAAGAGAGAGAGAGAGATATGGATATCAAGAGAGAGAGAGAGAGAGAGAGAAAAGGAGGGACACAGAGAGAAAGAGAGCGAGAGCCAAACATACAGAGAAAGAGATAAGCAAAGAGACAGAAAGAGAGAGGGAGGAAGGGGTGTGCATGTGTATAGGTGTATCTATACATATATATAGAGAGAGATACGGAGAGAAAGAGAGAGAGAGAGAACAAGAGAAAGAGAGAGAGAGAAACCAATCACAAAAAGACAGGGAGGGAGAGACAGAAAGAGATAGAGAGAGAGAAGCAGAAAGGCAGAAGTAAAAATGATCCACACCCAGAGATCGGTCGACGGATCACCGGGAGCCGGGCCAGCGAAGCACATAGAAACTCCCAGTTCGAAAAGCAGAGAGACGACGGAGCAGGGATCCCGCGTGCCCCCACAGAGCCATATCCTCCTCGAGCTGAGCGGCCTGCTGCGCCACAGCCGCTTCGTCCCGCACCTGGGCGCGGGGGCCGTTGGGGGGGGCCGTCTGGAGCTCCCGCCCACTCCAGTCAGTGCTTCTTCCCGCTCCTCTCTCTCTCTCTCTTCTTTCTTTTTACTCTCTCTATATATATGTATACACATGTAGCTGCGTGTTTACGGATAGATGTGTGTACACACATATATATATGAGTATATATATATTCACATATATATATATATATATATATATATATATATATATATTATATATATATATACATGAATATATATATATATGTATATCTATATCTATATATATACAGATGTAAAAATCTATATGCATACGCATATATGAGAGAGCGCGCCCACAGGGCCCGAGCAAAGGGGAGGGGGGGCTAGGCTTAAGCTACCCCCCCCCCCTCCCTTGAGCCGCCCTTGTTGGAAGCACCCCCCCCTCCCCCCCTTTTTTTTGCACGGGGGGGGGCTTACAGCTACCCCCCCCCTCCCCCCTTGAGCCCTCCCCGGAAGCTACTCCCAGGGGGGGGGGGGCTTGGAAGCCCCCCCCCCTTCCCCCCTTTGGCCGCCCAGCCCCCGGAGCCTCCGCCCTCCCTTTCGCCGACGATCCAAAATGAACAATCCACGATCGAGGATGGACGATCGACGATCAACGATCGACGATCGAAAATCCCAATCGAATCGCTTGCAATCGATTGCACTCCATTCCACTGCAATCCCCCTCCCCACCTCCCTCCGCTCCCTCCCCTCCCTCCACACCCTTCGTTCCATCTCCTCCCTCCCCTCCCTCTCCTCCCCTCCCTCCCTTCCGTCCTGTCCCTCCCCTGCAATCCAATCGATTGAATCGATTGCAATTCAACCGATTGCAGTCCAATCGATTGCAACGCAAGTGTATCATTCAACTCGTCCCGTGCCAACGCCCAGGAACGAAAAATTACCCTGGCGACGTACCCAACCCCTGCGCAAACGCGGGGCGCAAATAGTTTAGGACACTTTATAAGGGGGGCGATGACGGAGCGAGGAATACATATATACACACAAATATATATGTATTCCCCAAACAATGTTTGCACTTAGCTTTTCTCGATTCTTGCTGAAAAAAAACTGGGCCTGGCTGCCGGTCAGGCGGCTCCGTGGTCGCCGTCGCCGCCCCGTCGCCGCCCGTCGTCTGGTCCTGGCTGCAAGTCTGGGAGCTCCGTGCTCGCCGCCGCCGCCCCGTCGCCCCCCCGTCGCCGTTCCTCGGCTAGATTACACAACGTAGATTGCGCAACATTAAAACAGAATGCACCACATGTATAGCTCCACATCGATTGCACAACGCAAATGGCACCACATAGATTGCACAACGCTTGTTGCACCACACATGTTGCACACCATGGACAGCACAACATATATTGTGCAACCCAAATTGCAGCACATAGATTGCACCACATGGGTTGCTTTACATATAATGCACACCGTATGTTGCACACATTCCACGTCAACAAGAGCATTGTACCACATAGTTTGGCCCATCGGTATTGCACAACATGTTTTGCTAGACACACACTGTCTTGGATCCGCGCCCTTGATATAAGCGTATCTTATTCCAGGTGCGTAGGTACACATGTATGTGAATATGTAATTATACATGTGCACACATGAATATACGTATAAGCCAGCATGGCCTTCAAACAATTACGCATTCTGTGTGAGGCAACCAGTGTTGTGCAATACTGGTGGCGCGATGTATGTTGTCAGCGATCAACAAGCACGCCAGAAGCGCAAACTCAACAGCGTGCAACATATGTGTGTATAAATATATTACTCTCTACGTGTGTATATACATATTTGTCTGTTGCACTGTAAGCGGGGCAGTATCTGTGGTGCAATCTTGGTGGTGCAACGCATGCGGTGCAATTCGTAATTCGTGTACGTTCGCAATGAATTGTCCACTCTACCCCTCGCACAGTCATCCCACCCACCCACCCACAACTTGGTTTCCAAAACCCATGCGGCGGCGATTGTGGTGCGTGCTCGGAAATGGCTGGCGCACTTCTGCTGCCGCGCTGGCCCGCGCATGTTCGCGCGCGCAGCGGCCAGACAGTTTGGCGCTACCGACGCCGCCGTGGTGGTTTTGACCGTTGGGCGCTTCCCAGCGGACATTTCAATGCGAGTCGGCGACTTGGGCGGGCGCGGTATCATGGCAATGTCGACAACGGTTGACGCAATTATGATGGTAGCGATGCTGGTGACGATGATGACAGCGACGGCGGGAAGGCCAGGACGGCGCACTCGCATCGGTGATGATGGCTTTGGCGGGAGTGCGACATGCGCGCGCGGCCGACGCGCGAGAGTGGCCCACATGGTATTATGTACCACGGATCCAATCCCCCCTAGCACGCGCGCAAAAAAAATTCGAATAATTTCGCCGTGCGGCACTAGGGGCCCGCTTGACCGATCCGTGAACAAAATTGGACAACCAATTTTTGTTGTTGTCCAAAATCTGCAGGAGCGCGGGCGCAATTTGTTTGAACACCCTTGTTGCAAAACCATGTTTAACCATATGTTCGGGACACTCAATTTGAAATCCGGACGAAACCTGAAATTCTTGACGGATTTCGGCATGCGCGCGACTACGCTCGCGTGTGCGTTTCGCCCCGTTTGTTGAAAAGGGTTATTGCGACAAAACGCGCGCAAGCGCGTTCGAGCGATTTCGACATGCGCGCGGGGAAGGACCCTCTGGTAGCATCTCATGCAAATGTTCAAAGCCTTATGGCTTTCTGAAGAACACTCAAGAGCGCGAGCGTCAACTTTATACATATACACATATATGAACAAATTGTGCTGCGAAACCATGTGCTTATGGATGTGCTATTCGGGACACTCGGTTTCAAAATCCCTTACGCGACCTAATGCTTTTGAGAGATTTCGGCGCACGCGCGCGACGACGCGCGCGTGTGCACTTCGTCCCATCTGTTGTAAGGGATTCTGGGAAACTGACGATTTGTTGATATACGAGTGCGCGCGCATTATACTTTTACAAAACGATTGCGGGGGGGTCGATGCCGGCCTATCTGGGATGGTAAGAATTTATACTTCGGATGGACGATGGGGCAAAATCATATGTAAATTGCAATACGAGAAGGGGGCGGTAAATATCTGGGGGAGGAGGGGGAATCTATATCAGTCGTGTCGTGCTACAAAGATGGGCTGCAACAGATGTATCGCAGTCTACGTTGTCGCTCCAACTCGCCCGAGCTACGCGTGCAAATCCTGGCACGCGACCCGGCGCGGAGGGGGGCACGGGGCTGGCCGCCGGCGAGAGCCCAGATAGAGAATCCGGCCGGCACGCGACGGTGGGCATCTCGATCCAAGCACGACTTCGAGCACGCCCGAAAAAAATGGGGTGGCCCCTCACTTCGTGGCGCGCAGAAGGGTCGAGGGGGGAAGGCTGAGGAGCCTGCTTCTGAGAAGGCGCCGGCCCTGCGTCTACAGACAAGGCTGCGCGTTCAAGAAGCAGGGGTGCTTCTAAGACGCCTGCCCACCTCCCCTACCCCCCATCTGCGCGTGGCCGGCTCACTCATAGCAAGCACCAGCCGCAAACAAGATAGAAGATGCATTTCCGGCTGTACTCCCCGCTCCCCCGTCGGCTCTCAAACACCAGGGACCTCCAAAGATGGGGTCCGAGGGGATGGAGCTGGAGGATCGGGCCACACGGCCGATGCATCGCCCGTGCGTGCATCGGAGATGCATCGGCGCGGTCGCAGTGGAGGACACCGGGCTCCACATCGAGCCGCACCGGCGATGCACCGGCGGCGCGGCGCGACCCAGGAGGCCTGGAAGCTCAGCAGCTCGACGCTCGGCGCGCCACCCTCTGGCGGCCGCATGCTCCCGCTCAGCGCGGGCCGCCGAGAGGGCGCGCGCGCGCGGGAGCGGAGCCGGCCTCGCGCGCCAATCTCTCCTCCGCCCGCGCGGCCGCGAGCTCGGACTCCTCGGCCTGTGCCTGGCGGCGGAGCACATCGCTGGTGAGCAGTGCATCCCTGGCCGTGGCCTGCTGACCACGGCTCTCGCATCCCCGTGCGGTGCGGTGTGCCCATGCTCGCTCCCAAGCAGGGCGAGGAGGATGTCATGGTAAGACTTGCTCGGGATGTGTTCCAGTATTTCCAGGGAGCATCTAGCGGCGCAGCCGGTGCGGAACATCAGGAACTAGCGGAATTCCTCTGGAAGCCTTGGAATCTCGGAAGGTCTCATTATCATGGCCTCTTGCTCCTCTGATCAATTTACACGAGGGCTCGCACGATGAATGCCGGGGCAGCGAGGGCGCGTCTCGGCTTCAGTGGATTGCAGGCCGCGGGCAGTCTCGTCCCTTGCAGAGGGGGTCGTCTGCATCTGTCGGCGGCGAGCCTGTGGGGGAAGTGAGAAGGGGCGGGCACTCTCAGAAGGCTCGTGAGGCCTGCACCCTTCTGAGAGGTCTCCTAAGCCTTCCCCCAAGACGCAAAGAACTTCTCTGAAGGCGCGAGGGCTTGTGAGAATTCCCGCCGCCTTCTGAGGAGGCCCGCCCCTTCTCACTTCCCCGCCTCGCTCGCCGCCGAATTTGAACCTGCGGGCAAATGCACGAGAAGCGCGCCGCACTAGTTCGTCGAAGCCGCGGGCAAGCGGTGTGGCAATGTGTCTCGGCCCCCGTTGCTCAGATGGTCGGTCCACGACGAGTTGCAGGGGTCTGGGCGCTGGAACGGCGATCTGCAAGAAGGGACCATCATATGACATCGCCTCCCCTGTCTGGCCGAGCGGCCGCCAGCCTTCAAGGGGGAAGCATCGACACACACACACACACACACCTGAATGTCGATACCCGGGAAAATATGCGAAAATAAAAGAAGCGGAGGGGAAGACGACCCAGACAGGTGCGGCCCAGGCAGTCAGTGATGTTCATCAGCCTCGTGTGGCGACGCAGATACGTGTGTGGAGTGGGAGGGGGATCTGATTTGTCCACCGTGCGCTCGCCCACTACCCGCACTGAAAACCAGTGCAAGCTGAGAGCAAGTGCATGCGCCATACGGCGACGCGCTCGGGGGGGAAGTGAGAAGGAGGAGGCCTTCCCTGTGTCTTCCTAGGGCTCCCAACTTCGCGCTTCGCGCTGCGCGAAGCGCGAAGCGCGAATAACTTCGCGCTCTCGCGCCGCCCTCCCAAAGGGAGAATAGGAGGACGAGGAGGAGGGGGAGAAGGAACGAGGACCGCGAAGCGCGAATAACTTCGCGCCCTCGAGGGAGCCCTCGTCTTCGGGGAAGGCTCAAGAAAGTCCTCAGAAAGCCAAGGGCCTGCCGATCCTCCTGAGACGGCCGGCCCCGCCTCGCTTCCCCGCGGGCGCGGCGCCGAAACAGGGCTGCCGTCATGTTTCCCGACGTGCTGTCACGCGTGCTGGCGCAACTGGCGCACTCTGCGTGCGTGGCGCACGTGGTTCGGGGAGGAGGAGACGGAGGAGGAGGAGGAGGAGGAGGAAGAGGAGGAGGAGGGTGCATCGATAATGAGTCGAAGGGAAGAGGAGAAGCAGGAGGAGACGGAGGAGGAGGAGGGGGAGGAGGGTGCGGCGATGAGGGAAGATTATGTGGTTTTCTGGGTCGGGCGGTTGCTTTGCAGGAGCGTGCGGTAAGGTGCCAGACAGTAAACGACGGCAGGCCTTCTTTGGGCCCGTGGGTGCGGCAGGGTTCCTTGCGAGATCAAGACTCATGGTTCCACTGCGTGCTGACACCCAGGTCAGCGTCTGGAGCGCGAGGGCATGTGGCACACTTGGTGTGCGCGGGACACGTGGCGCACCTGGTGCACCAGGCACGACTGGCGCGCTTGGGCCGCTGAGACACCTGGTGCCTGTGGCGCACGTGGCTCGCGTGGAGGGGCGGTGCTCCTTCGTGCTGCCCCCCCCCTCTGCAATTAGCAAGCGAATCTACGGCAACGTATATGTCTGAGCGGATGTTGCCACATCGGGTGCATCCTTGGGCCGTCTTTGAGCCCGCACGCGCCCTTGCACAACCATCGTGCGACTAGGAGGAGCAAGCAACAAGGAACGAAGGGATTTGTTTCTGGCTGCGGCAGGCCTAGGCCACAAACAGGTCTCACAACCTACATCTAAGGACTGGCCAAAAACCCAAGGCCCTCCTGAGCCCAAAGTGGTCCTTATTTCAGCGCCTTGACCGTACATACAAATTGCCTCCAGGATAACACAAACTGACCCTATACTGACCACGCTAGCCTCCGCCATGCCTGCAAAACGCCACGATCCCAAGACGGCCCCAAATGTTCTGGGAGTCTCCAAGGGACGCCCCCGCGGAGGAAAACTCATTTGAACACAAAGCTGTGAGTTGTGCATGACTCTGGCCTTCTCGCTTTTCCGTTTCGATGAGCTCCTGCGGTCCAAGACGACCCCATCGGCCAAGTGAGCTCCAAGAGGGGCCCAAATGGGCTTCGAGACTGCCCCAAAGGCCCTCCAAGAGCGCCCCAAGAGCCTCCCAAGGGGGCTCCACGAGAGCGTGCTTCGGGCTCGGACGGGGAGCTATAATTTAGGACTCGATATCCCCTCTGTGATCGATGTTCTCGAAGAGCCCCCACGAGGGCCGCAAGAGATCCCAAAGAGGGCTTTACGAAGGCCCCCATAAAACCCCACACTAGCCCCAAGAAACTCCAACAAACGTCCCACTCGCTTCCATGTCCAAAGATCCGCGAAAGTTTGTTTTGCGGACTCCTGGGTCTGCCCAGGCTGATCCCTGACTTCAGTTTGACGGCTGCCCCCCTCCTTTGTTCCACCGCTTGCTCCTCTTTACTGATCGAAGCAACTCGCCTGAAGTCAGGCCTGTCCCCCTAAAGGCGGCTCGTGGGCGAAAAATAGCAAACCGCCAAGAAATGCTCGGCAACAGTGCGACAGGAAAGCATCGTCCCCCGACTATGTTTGCACTGGTTTTGAAGATCCCTCCCGTAGGGGGACAGGCCCGACCTAAAACTCGCCTGGGTACCATTTCTGGATGGACCGGTGGGGACCAGACGTCGGGGGGTGCGTTCGAGGTGATACGGAGACCCCGCACCAGAAGGAACTCGGCGTCGGTTCCGTGCTCGCGTCGTGCGCGCGGGCACGGCGACGCCGCGCGGGCGGGCGAGAAGACGGAGCCCTCCGTGGCTGAGGCGAGCACTGCGCTCCACACGACTCTGCGCCCCCCATGGCTGAGGCGATGGCGCGGGGTGTCCCCTCCTCCTCCTCCTCCTCCTCCTCCTCCTCCTCCTCCTCCTCCTCCTCCTCCCTCCCCCCGTGGTGTCCCACGGCGTCCCGCGGCGTGGGGGGCCCCGCGGTGTCCCGTGGCGCGGTGTCCCTTGGTGTCTGGTGGTGTCCCACGGTGTTCCGTGAGGTCGACTGTGAGATCGGTCGTGGGGTCTGTAGACACATCGGTGGTGAGATCGCTCGTAAGGTCGACTGTGAGATGAGGAGATCGTGAGAGCGATCGCCGATATATATATATATATATATATATATAAGGAAACTCGATAGTGAGATCGATAGGTAGATAGGGAGTGAGATGCATAGATGGATCAACAGGTGCTCTGTGGTGCCCAACTCGCTTCAGCCGAATCCGATCCGACCCCAATCGCACACCGAAAACTGAGCTCCCCTCACACACAACCTTCTTATCATCCGAAGGGCGGTCGTATTGGTACACAAAGCGTAAGCCACTGTAGTGAATCCGCCGACCCTGTGAGAAGCCTTCTCGTTGGAGTCATCGTCGTCGTTGTCGTCGTCGTCGTCGCCGCTCCCCCTCAAGCGTTCCAGCTAGGAGAAGACCAAGGTCGCAATCGAGAAGAAGGGAGACGTTTTCCCGTGTGCGGCGATATACGGGGGAGCGATACATGGGGCGGCAACGAGGGCAGCCGACAAGGGGCCCTTTAGGGCCCAGAAAGGCGCCCTAAAGGTCCCAGAAGGGGCCTTTAGGGGCCCGAAAAGGGCACCTTCCCCCCCCCCTTCCTCCCATTTATCGCCACCCAGAATTCGCGCCCAATTCCATGTGATCCCTCCCCCGCCGGCGGAAGGGAGAGGGGCGGGGACGTCCCAGGGGGTCGTGACCCCCCCCCCTGGGCGGGGTGCAGCCCTCCTGTCGGCGCCGGGGCGTCCGCGTCGTCGTCGTCCTCGCCGTCGCCGGCGTTGCCGTCCCCCCTTTTTTGGGGGTCGGCGGCACCGGCCGTGAGGCCTTCGCGGTATAAGATTTTGAACACTTCGTGCTGTTCGGTTGTTTAACACGAACTGCTGCGGTGTAAAGCGGTGTGTGTGTGTGTGTGAGTGTGTGTGTATGTATGTGTCTACGTGCTTGTGTTCAGCATGGGGTACGCGGGTCCTGAGCGAAACGGATCCTGGACTCCAGGACCTCCCCCCAGGACCAGCTCTTCATCCTGAGCCGTTTCCTGACAGTCCTGGGGCCCGTGGAGCGCACCGAGAGACCCAAGCCGGCGAAACACCTCGGGACCCGCTTCCTCCACGGCGCGTGTGTGTCACCACCGAGCGGCCGCCCGGAGTCCGCAACGCGACGAGCGACCGTGTATCTTAGCAGGGGGCCGGCGCGGGCCCAGCCAGCCCCACAAGAGGGCGGAGGCGCAGGCCACGCGAGGCCAGGCGTCCGAAGCCACTCTGGGCTTCCTCCAAGCCTCGAGTAGACCATTTGGCCACTGATATGACAACGGTAGGCGGCGAGCGAAGGGGGAAAGCGAGGAAGGGAAGGCATTTTCAGAAGGCGGCGGGGCTTTTCGGAAGCCCTCCGGCCTTCTGAGGAGTTTTCGGTGTCTTCGGGGAAGGCTCAGAAAACTTCTCAGATTGCCCGAGGTCTTCCGAGCGAAGACCCGCCCCTTCTCACTTACCCCTCGGGCGTGCCGCCGAAACGAAGCACATGCACCGCAGCATGTCTGGACCCCCTTCAGGCCACGATCCAACGCGGTACGTTGCATAGCTGTTCGGCTCCGAGGGCCACAAAACTGTGCACCGTACCTTTCCTGGGTCGAGGATCGTTGGCGCCTCGGGAGATGCCAGTGCGGTAGGGTGCACACAAGTCGTCCGAGGTCCCGAGACCGCCGCACGCACTCTGCCAGCAGGCCAGCGTGCAGGCACCAGAATGCTCTCCGCCACGGGAAGCATCGAGCCCGTCAGAGAGCGTCGACGCTCGGAACCCCGAACCCCCAGAAAGGCGGACGTGGCTCCCAAACGGATCCGCGTTCTGGCGGTCGCTAGTGAGCTCCTCCTGGCCGCCTGCACAGGGCCACCATGCGGGATGCCTTCCTGGACTTTCGGCAAGAGATGGCGCGATGGCGCCAGAGGAGTAGTCGTGACAATGCGGCGACAGCGCAAGGACAGATTGCACGCTCCACAGGGTGCGAGGTGTGTGTGTGTGTGTGTGTGTGTGTGTGTGTGTGTGTGTGTGCCAAGATGCATTGGCCCTCCCCTGGAATGCCCTTGCACCCCCAGTCCACCACGAATCGGGCACGCGCTGACATGGGTTCGGGATCAACGGATCCGGCGCGTGGGCGCCAGATCCACGGATCGGGGAAAGCATCCCCGGAACAGGAGGCCAACACCGCTTGATTTGGCGGCGGAGCGCGCCGATCCTGTGCGGAAGCGGGACCCGTCGCTGACCCCCCGCGCCTCAATCACCCGTGCTTGCACTTCCTTCAACGAAGCGGGTGCGCATTCTGCTCCGCATCGGCCTGGGCCTCGATCCCTGGAGGCCCCGCGCCGCATTCTCGGGGCCTCCGGGCGCACGGGAGCCCTGCGCGGTGCCCCAAGGGCGGAATCCCGCCCTGGGCTCTGCCCCACCCCTGGCGCGCGCGGAGTGCCGCAACGCTGTTTGAGAGCTTACGCTGAGCACAAGCCACGCTCACCTGAGTGGGATTTCCCTCTCGCAGAGGTGGTCCGCTCCGCTCTGCTCCGCTCACCCGGTCACCCTTCGGGTATTCGTTCACGGTGGGGCAGCCAGACGTGGGCTGAAGAACCGTGCGCTTTTCGTGCGCACCTTCTGGGCCCGCGGTGGCAACTCAGGGCAGTGTGAGGCCCTTCAGGGCCACTTTCACGCAGCCCTCAGTCGCCCCCACGTTGACATTGGGGGCACGTGATGAAGGCAACATTTTGGGTGGGACGGCGAAAACATGGCTTCGCCCGTCCGGCTTCTGCCCTGTCGCAGTCGCGAGCCAGGGGAGCCCGGCCCACGGAAAGGTGACCACTCGCACTGGACCCCCAGGGGGGGGCCCGAGGGGAGTGCGGCGCGCCCCCCCCCCTGCTGTGCGGCTCCGTGCCTGCCAGGGCGCGGCGGGGCGCGCGTCGGCCCCCGCGGCCCCTGCTCTGCTGTGCGGCCCTGGGCCCCCCCGCGTCAAGCGGGGCGCGGCGCACCCCCCCACGCCGTGCGGCCGTATGCCTGCCAGGGCGCGGCGAACGCTTCGGGGAGGGGAGGGGAGGGGAGGGGGGGCGCGCGGCGCGCCCCCCCCGCTGTGCGGTTCTAGACATGCCAGCGCGCGGCGAGCGCGTCGAGCGAGGGGGGAGGGGGGGCGGCGCGCCCCCCCCCTCCCCCCTCCCCTCCGCCGATGCTGCCCCCTCCCCTCCCTCCCCTCCCTCCCCCTCCCCTCCCTCCCCCTCCCCTCCCTCCCTCCCTCCCCCCCCGCTCCCCTCCCCCCTTCCCCTATGCCCCCCCCTCCCCCCCCATCCGCCAATGCTGCCCCACGCCTGCTGGGGCGCGGCGAACGCGTCGAGGGGGGGCACGGCGCGCCCACCCCCGCTATCGGGCTGTGTGCGAGGAGGAGGAGGAGGAGGAGGAGGAGGAGGAGAAGGAGGAGGAGGAGGAGGAGGAGGAGGAGGAGGAGAAGGAGGAGTGACGAGGAGGAGGAGGAGGAGGAGTGAGGAGGAGTGAGGAGTGAGGAGGAGCGAGGGGGTGAGGAATAAGGAGGAGCACGGACTGATCAGCCAGCGCAGACGCTGAATAGATCAAAAGACGGACGCGAAGCGGACTGGGATGGACTGAGGCAGAGTGGACTGCAGAAGACTGGGCTGGACTGGATGGGCTGGACTAGCTTGGACTGGGGCAGGCTTTACTCAGCTCCATTCTAATCAACTCTACTCTACTACGTATTCACTACTATCCGACCCTGCTCTGCTCTATCACTGTTCCCAAAGAGAGACCATGCAACATGCACCTTGCCTCCAAATCTGGCGCATGCGCGGCCGCACCGCGACCACTTTGACCTGTTTTGTGACAGGGGCGGCGGGGGTGTCGGCATAATGTTTGCTGCGCACAGGCCAACCATCCCTTTCAACAAGCAATGCTAACATACGCTTTGGCCCCACATCTGGAGCACGCGCAGGACTCTCTTATCTCCGAGCTGTAATCTGCGTCACGACTTCTCAAGATGTCACAATTTGTCCATCGGTGCCGGTGCTTTGCGCTCCCTGGAGGAGCCGCCCTTGTTCACAGAATGCTCGGCGCTTCGCTTCAGAGGGGGTTCAAGATCCTGAGCTCCTTAGGGCCAGGACCCCAGGCACACGGGGTTCCTATTGCCTCCCCGTAGCTGGCGCACCTGGCGTGGCTGGAGCACTTGGCGCAGTTGGCGCACGCGGAGCATGTGCCGCACCTGGTACGCTTGGGCACTCAGGGGCTCCAGGGTGCCTGGTGCACCTGGCACCAGTGGCGCGCATGGCATGTGTGGCATTCCCAAGCGATGTGCAGACACGCGGGTGTTACTTATGTCTTGGGAGGGCGGCTGGGAGTGAGCTAGACGGCCTGCTATCTGGGAGGGTTGCTTGACCCTACCCTACCCTACCCTACCCTAGCCTACTATAGTATACTCTACTCGAATGTAATCGAGTCGATCCTGATCTACCTTACTCAACTCTACCCCTACTGTGCTACAACAGAAACTATCCTCTCATCTACTCTATTCTACTCTACCCCATTCCACCCGACTCGATTATACCACCTTCCCTACTTTAGTCGACCCTGCTCTACTCTACCCTATGTTATTCGACCATAATCACCCTACTCTAACATACTCTGGTTGGCTCTACCCTATCATGCTCTACTCCTTTTCTACTCCTTCTCTGCTATGCTCTACTCTACTCTACTCTACTCTACTCTGCCCGTTACTCTACTCCTATCGTGCACTACCCTAATGTACTATCATCTCGCCTCCTATCCACTGCTATTATCTGCCCTACTCTACTCGAATATACCGACTCTACCCTATGATCTATCCTACTCCATTCTGCTCCGCTCTGCTCTACTCTGCCATACTCTACCCGGCCATACCCTAAACTACGAACCATCACCTATTGTACTCCATTCTACTCTGCCCACACTCTGCTTTTGCGTGCTCTGCTCCTGCTCTACCCCTACTCCCTGGTCGTACTTGCTCCAACTATGCCACCCGGCCGCCCGACAGCGGCCCCGTCCGGGCCCCTTCCATCCTGCGCGTTGCAAAAGGTCCATGCTGCTCGTCTCCGCACGCACACTCGGTCGCCCCTGCTGCAAAACGCGCGGCAGGCCATGGGCCCGGGGCGCACGCGCCCCGCGCGAGGCCGAACCGTCGCTCTCGCCGCGGCGCCGCGCTCGCTCTCCTGGAAGCTCGGCCGCTCACGCTCGGGCGCGGGCGCGCCTGCGTCGCAGGAGCTCCTCGCCGACGCGCGAGCGGCCGACAGTGTCGCCATCGCCCCGGCGCCGTGCAGCTCTGGCCTTTTTTGCTTTTTCGGGGGGGGAGGAGGAGGAGGAGGAGGAGGAGGAGGAGGAGGAGGAGACGGAGGAGGAGGAGGAGGAGGAGGAGGAGGAGGCGGAGGAGGAGGAGGAGGAGGAGGAGGAGGAGGAGGCGGAGGAGGAGGAGGAGGAGGAGGAGGAGGGCGGAGGAGAAGCAGGAGGAGGAGGAGGGGGCCCGCGCGAACGGGCGACTTTTGTCGCCCTCGCCCGAGTGCCGTGCCTCTTTCTCTCGGCACGTGGCGCTCCAGCACGGGCGCGGCGCAGCGCGGCTCGCCCGCCGAGGCGCACGGGGAGCGGCGGCGGCCGCGGGGCGGCCGCGGGGAGCGGGCGAGGTGCCGGCCTCGCCCAAACGCCGTGCAGCCTGCGAGCGAAAGCGGCAATGCTGGGCCAGCGCGGCGGGCGTGCTTCGTCTTCGCGGCGCCCCTCGGAGGCTCGGCCGCCCCCGCCCCGGCGCGGCCCGCGTCGTGCTCTCTCCGCCGGATAGTCGGGAAGCGGGACCGCGCGCGAGCTCCTTCTACTTGCGAGGTGGGGGGGCGTTCTAATCCCAACATCACGGTGTGCCACAATTGATACTGTCGGAGGGAAGGTGGGAGCAGGTGGGTCCCTCTGACTCGGTCGACCTGGCTAACTTGGTGTTACTCGTACTCCTACTCTAATATGTGTTGGTCTCCTCTACTCTGCTCTACTCTACTCTGCTCTGCTCTACTCTACTCTACTTCTGAGTCTGACGATTGTTGGAAGATTGGCGAAACGCCATTGGGATAGCCACAGGAAGCCGTTTGAATAGAAGAGAACGACATGCGAATACATAGGAAGCCAAGCGGATAGCTGGGGAAGCCATGTGGATACAGAGGAAGCCATGCCGATAGCTATGACGATTGTTGGACGATTGTTGCCACGCCATTGGGCTGGCCTCAGGATGCAGTTGGAACGGCAGAGGAAGTCGGGGAAGCCATGAGGATAGTTTGGCGATTGCGGCAAAGGGGGAACCAGTCGACCAATTCTCGATGGATGGAACTCGGCCTCCTATAGACAAGCCAGCGTAAAGAAAAAAGACAGTTCCGACAACCCGATTCCATGAATAGAACCAACACAGCGCGACCGAGGCCTCCTGGGGGAATGGGGGTGGAAGGGGAGCACCTTTTGCCTCCAAACGAGCCCCCCCACCTCCCCTGATTCGGCGCAAGAGACACGCTAGACGAGTGCGGGCCAGCGTGGCCAGCGTGCGCCCGCCCACCCCGCCCCCGGGCTCCGCCCACGCTCTCAACCGGACGGCCGCGGGAACTCTTTCGCTGCCCCGCCCGCCTTGGCGTGCTCGGCCTGCTCGGCCTGAACCGCGCGAGGCCACCAGGAGCGCCGAAGAGGGATTCAGCAGGGGGAAAAGGTTCGAGAAAGAGCGAGAGAGAGAGAGAGAGACACACACACACACACACAAAGACGCACACGCACACCCACGCACGCACCCACGCAGCACAAACGCAAACACACACACACACACTCAGTCTCTCTCTCTCTCTCTATAACACACACGCATACACGCACGCACGCACGCACGCACGCACGCACGCAAACACACACACACACTCACACACACTCACACTCACACACACACACACACACACGCACGCACGCACGCACGCAAGCACGCACGCACGCACGCACGCACGCACGCACGCACACAGCACGCACGCACCCACACACGCACGCACGCACGCACGCACGCACGCACCACGCACCCACGCACCCACGCACCCACCCACCCACCCACCCACCCACCCACACACACACCCACACACCCACCCACACCCACCCACACCTACACCCACCACACCCACCCACACCCACCCACCACACCCACCCACACCCACCCACCCCACCACACCCACACCCACACCCCACCCACACCCCACACCCCACCCCACCCCCACCCCCATCCCCTCCCCCCCACACCCCCACACACACACCCCCTCCCACCTCCCCTCCCACCCCGCACCACAAACACACACGCACGCACGTACGCACGCGCACGCGCACGCGCACGCGCACGCGCACGCGCACGCGCACGCGCACGCGCACGCGCACGCGCAAACACACTCGCACGCGCACGCGCACGCGCAAACACACTCGCACGCGCACGCGCACTCGCACGCGCACGCGCACGCACACGCACACGCACACGCACACGTACACGCACACACACACACACACACATGCACACCACATGCACACCACATGCACAGAGAGCGGGGCGATGCGGGGGCAAAGATGAGCTGAGGGACAGAGGAACGTAGACAACATGTTGCCTCGCAAGTGCCCCAACACTGTCGCGAAACTGGAGCCGATGTGCTGGCTGAGATGCGGCTCGAGGAACGGAGGATCTGCCATGTTTTGTTCTGCGCTCCAGCAACACAACTTCTTATACCGAATTATCCTCGCGTGCCTTCCTAATCTGGAATTCTCTCACACCGTGTCTCCAGCTGGATCACATGTGCCCAAGCTTGGAGAACCCAATCAGAGCCACCACCACGAAGAAACATTGGAAGACAAGATCCAACAGCCCAACTGACCGTGGCATATCAAGGCGCGTGAGTCGCAATGTCCACGTCTGATAGCACGGGGGCTCGGGAAGATCATCTGAGGACAACGTGAACCATAGGCATACGAACTCCCTCATCTCGCGCCCTTCGCTCTTCAAACCACGGCCAATGTAACGGTGTCAGCCCCTGACAGACCGAACGCCCTGGTGCGTCCGACGCTTAAAGAATTAGCTCGGACCTCGGTTCCATCGTCGCCGTAATTATGGCCCGTCCTTCGATACTCAACGAATGGCACGGGCCCTGCGGAACTTCCTCCAAGCCGTGCTGGGTGCCACTCCGACTGCGCATGCACACGTTGCTCGGTTCCAATTCTGCCAACTCCTGACCGAGCTCAACTTGAATACTACCCCTGGTCTCGACATGGCAGACACGCAATCCAGAACTGCTCGCGACTGGAGCTCTTACAACCTTGACCGCGTAAACCCGTGCTCTCTTGAACAAGAAGACAATACAGCTGCTACCCAGCTCTACCTGTGCGTCCACCGCACTGCCGATCACTAACTGGTCCGTGCATGGGGAGCTGGTGCGCGCGTGCGAGGTGGTGCCACGAGCGCAGGCGTGAGCGAAGCTCAAGCGCAGGAACAGGAACACACGCTGAGAAGTCGAGGAGTTACAGTGGGGGCTCGGCCACAAGACACCTCCGCAAGAAACCCAACCCTGAAATCCGCGGCTTGCTCCATGAAGATCCGAATTCGTCAGTCGAGAATCGTCAAGATCTTATTTTGGGGCCCATCGAAATCCCAGAAACCCAGGGCACCCTGGCAGAATCCAACTGGCTTCTTGGCATACGCGCCCCCGCTGTACTCGGGAAGCCCGGTGGTCGTTGGACCAGGGGCTCGCCGAACGAGAAACATCCGGGGCCAGCGTCGACACACGGCGGTCCCCACACCCACGCGAAGCTGCAGAACAATGCTGGGGGGGAACGTTGCTGAAGGGGCCCTGGGACACACAGATAAATACACATGAATAAACATGTTCCCCATATTTTCACATATTTTCTGGGTTTCTGTCTTCCCGCCCACTTCCCATATTTTCCCATCTTTTCTGGGGATCGAGGATTCATGGTGTCTGTGTGTTTCTGTTCCTCCTGAGTTACAGGGGGGCGGCCGACTCCGGGGAGGAAGCATCGACCTGGAGTCGGCGATGCATCGCCAATAGATCGGCGAGGTGCTCCCGACAGCGGATCCACGCGTTTCTGGGCGGGGTGGGCCCATCAGTCCACTCTCTCGGCGAGGAGCAGGCGATTAGGGGGTCGAGGCGTCCCCCCCTGAGCCTGCCTCCCCCCAGCGCTGCACCGGAAGAACTGCCCCGACGCTGCAACCATGTACAACTTCAGGCGGGCGCTGCTGAGCAAGAGTCTGTTGGATAAAGACTCCGGGGGCCCTGCGACTGGTGGGATGCCAGTGGGTGAACAAAAACGTGCTGCCATCTCTGCCTGCCGCCTCTGGTGAGAACAAGGGGATGCGCGAGGCTCACGAGGAAGGAGGCAAAGCAAAGACTCACAACAGAAACTCGGCCGCCGAATGAGGAATCGCTGGATAAGTCGGCCATGCCTATAACATGTCATTAGACACTGGCGGCAAAATGCCCCCAGCAGCCTAATTCAGGAGTGCGGAGACTAGTATATTGGGCTGCGCATGCGCGGGACCATACCATGCGGGGGATCACAATATAGAGAGACCATACGGGAGGCAATACGGGCGCCCGCAGGGGAGAGACCAGACGGGAACCCATACTTGAGACCATAAAGGGAAACCACACGACCATGCACAAAAAACATACGGGAGACTGGACGGGACAGCATGCGGGAGATCAGACAAGAAACCATACAAAGAAATTGCATGCTAGAACATACAACATAACATACGGAACACCACATAGGAGACAATACGGGAGACGATACAAGAGAGCAGACGTGAGACCGGGAGACCACACGGGATGCCATGCGGGAGACCAGGCGGGAAGCCATACGGGAGACCCTCAGGTCGATGAGATGAGACAGGGCCCTGAAGGCGGCTCGTGGAGGCCCACTCGGAGAGGAGGGGGGAGGAGGAGGAGGGAGGAGGAGGAGGAGGAGGAGGGGGGAGGAGGAGGAGGAGGGGGAGGAGGAGGAGGAGGAGGAGGAGGAGGAGGAGGAGGAGGAGGAGGAGGAGGAGGAGGAGGAGGAGGAGGAGGAGGGAGGAGGAGGAGGAGCCGAGGTGCCGGACGAAGAGAGCAGGAGCCGAGGTGTCGGCCGAAGCGCCCTCTGCGTCCGTCCTCTGCGCAGGAGGCGCCTCCCCGGTGCCTGCACCGCAGGGCTCCGCGAGGCCAACCCGCCCGAAGGGGGCACGCCCCCGACCCGGCAGCGGGGGCAGCCCCCCACGGCCGACTCCGAGGGGGGGAGGCGTCGACCAGGAACCGGGGCTACGTTGCCGACGGGTCGGCGTGGCTTCGCTATCGGGAGTGACTCCCGATAGCGAATCCACGCCACCGGGGCGGGGCCCCACGGCTCCCGCACGCGGGGCGGGGCCCCCCAGAGGCCGACACACTATTTTTGTTTGTGTGGATTCGCGGGTCGAGAGCGCACCTCTTCCGGCCGAAGCTGAGCAACTTGCCAGAGACCGAAGCACCTCGGGGGTGCAAGTTGCGCCAGCCGCGCCCGCACTTCGGTCGGCACGCCGAGAGGCCAGTCCCACACGCGAGGCCCTCCACCCCGGCCGTCGACGACGGCCACTGCCTCGCTCTGAGACGTCGGAGCTGATCCTGCAACCTGAGCCCGCCCCCTCCCGAAGGCAGGGCCTCCAGGGCGGCCCCAGAACGGCCCCAGAACGGCCCAAGAAGCGCCCAAGACGGCCCCAAGGCAGCCCAAGAGGCCTCCAAGACACCCAAGATGGCCTCCAGGACGGCCCTGGAGCGCCCCAAGAGGGCCCCAAGTCGGCCTAGAGAGGCCCCCAAGACGGCTTCCGACAGCGTCATACGGGCCAGGAGCCCACCAAGACGGCCCAAGATGGCTCCAAGATGGCCCAAGACGGCCCAAGAGGCCCCGAAGAGGTCTCCAAGACGGCCCCAGAACCCTTCAAGAGGACCTCCAGGAAGGCCCGATGAAGAGGCCTCCAAAAGGGCCCCAAGATGGCCTCTAAGACGGCCCTGGAGCACCCCAAGAGGGCCCCAAGTCGGCCCAGAGAGGCACCCACGACGACTTCCGACGGCGTCGGACGGGCCAGGGATGCTCCAAGACTGCCAAAGAGGCCCCCGAGAAGCCCCCAATGGCCACCAGGAGGCCCAAGGAGGCCACCAAGATGCCTCCAAGAGGCTCCCAGGAAGCTCCCAGGAGGCCCCCCAAGAGTCCCCCCAGAGGCTCCCAAGAGGCCCTCTCCTCCTCCTCCTCCTCCTCCTCCTCCTCCTCTTCCTCCTCCTCCTCCTCCTCCTCCTCCTCCTCCTCTTGATCTAGCCGCCGCCACGGCTGAAGGGCGCGGGACACGCGGCCCTCCCACCCTTTTCATCGCCCGCCAGGGGAGCAGCGCGCGATGCCCACTCGCCCTCGGGGCCCAAGAGGCCCATGATGGCGGCTCTCCTCTTGCTCGCGGCCGTCGGCTTCTCGCCGCGGGCGGCCGCCTGCACGTCGACAGGCGCGTGCCGCGCCCTTGGACGCACTCAGGAGCGAGAGCCGCAACCTGCTCTGCACACCAGGCTCTACGAGTACATCCCTATCTACCTGACGGGCAGCACCCGCGCGCAGGAGATCTCCCACGCGCACTACATGGGCGAGATCCTCTTCCCTGGGATGAACCGCCGCCCGACACTGGACGGCCGCCACAGCCTCTTTCTGTGCGACTACCACTGGGAGCTCTCCTTCGGCTGGACCCACAAGAGCTTCGGGGGGCGCATCTTCCTACATCGGCGGTTTCTGCAGGCACACCTACGTCTGACCTACCCTCCGCCCGCGGCGCTCTCGGGCCGCTGCGGCGCGACAATGCCGCTCCTCGGACGTGCTCCTCTTGGTTCGGCACCTTTCCGCGCCATCCACGTCCGACTCATACCGCCAGGTGGCCCAGGCTATGACCTCGTGGGCACGCACCATGATGGAGTCTGTGGGCAGTCGTCGCACGCCTTTCAGCGGGGCGGACCTCAGCTCGGCGACTCCGTGGACGAGACGTATCTCGGCTCCTCGCCCCTGCTCGTGCCCGTCTTGTGGAGCGAGGTCGACAGCGTCGAGGGCACCTTCCTGGAGCTGGAGGGCCTCCCTGGACGTCTTTGGCAACGGTTCCTCTCGGACCACGACGCCTTCTTTGCCAGCGGGGACACTTACTTAGGGACGCACGGACGATCACGCAGGATCGACTTCTTCTACGCCCCGTCCGCCCTGGAGTCCCACACACGCCAGTGCAAGGCCCCCTTGGGAGCAGGTCGCCGCCTCAACACACTGTACGATCGAGACCACCGCTGTCTACGCGGGCGACAAGTTCGAGGCCCACGCGTTGCACACCTGGGGCTACGACACGATCACGCTTCGCCTGGAGGGCGCCCTGAAGTCGCGCGACCTGCAGAATGCGGTCACGATCCTCCCCAAGATGTTGCGCCTGCACGCCCAGTCGCTCAGGGACCTAGCGGACTCGGTATGGATCAGCATCGTTACCACGCCCACGGCTACCTCGATCGTCGCAGTTCGGAAAGCGGGCAAGATGTACGCAGAGGCGGCGCAATTCCCCGAGGCGAAGCCCCAACTCACCACATTTGTACCTCGCTCACGCCGAGTTCAAGTACCTGTCGGCCTTCGTGGTGCAGGAGGCCCCGCAGGGGCACGGGCTCCCGCGTACCTTATACCAGCAGTTCGTTTGCACGGAGACGGGCTCGGAGCTCTTTTCCACCTCAGGCTGCGCACGCGCTACAACGACCAGTACACCAGGAAGCAGTTCGCTAACGCGGACCAGATCACACTGAAGAGCGTCAACCCAGACGGCCCTCGGGAGACTTGTCTCGACGTTCTGGGCGGCCGCCAGAAGATGGGGACGGGCCACCTGGAATCGATGGCCCAGAAAATGCCAGACAAGAATCGCCAGATCCACTACGGCCAGAAGGGCTGACACGGGTGGCGGATCCTACGGAAAGAGATGGGCGATCAGAACACTACGTGACGACATGAGTCCAGCAGCTTCGCTGTAGCACCAGGCCCCCTTTAGTCGCTCTCGCCGCCCCTGGTCTCTAGGGCGCGCCGTCGGCCCTTTTCTTCGGCCTGTTTTTTTTTTTGTTCCTTCTCGGGGCCTCTGGGGTGTCCAGGGAGCCTGCTCGGTGCTCTCCGCGCCGTCGAGCTCGGCCCCCAGGGGCCAGAGGGGAATCACCCCCCGCCCGCGGGCGTTTTATTGTTTCCTGTCCTGCTCGGCTCGGATCCACGGTGATCACAGCTGCACGGCGCGCCCACACGCCTGACCTCGTTCGGTCCGAGGAGATCGCACGACTGTTCAGAGGTGTCCCCGATCTCTCGTTTCGTGAGCTCGAGGGGTGAGCGTCTTCAGACTCACAGCGCAATGCCGGGTCCATCCATCCATCCATCCATCCTCTTGATCTTCCCCGCCATCCTCCCCAAAATGTTTCCCGATGGTTTTCCACAACGGTCGGGGGTAACACATGGTCCGATAGCTTGGCAGAACTCTTTCCACAACGCTCGGCCACATAGGCGATTCCAAACAGTAGGGGGCGTCGGTGATTCGCCGTAGGCGTCTTCGATAATGAGGGGGTGATGGCCTGATGTGCATATGGTGCTTCTGGGTCAGGACAGCCTGGATGGGAAACTGCATGGCTGCTATAGTTCAGAATTGGTTTCCGAGTGCGGCCAGCAGCTGGCGGGCCAGTTTGGCTGCCTCTAAATGGCTGGCACGCTGTGGACTAACTGTTTGCATGCACTAGATGATCGGTTGAACAAGCTTCGGCAGCGGGGCCGATGTGATAAGAGGATTCGACGACATGGCTCCCGGACATGGAATGAGTTTTGGCTGCCGCACTGCGGACATGCCGAGCAGAATGCTCTGCTACGCGGTGCATGTGTTGGCTGTGTAATGGAGGCCCAAACTGCATTATCCTTGCTAAACTGGCAAACCGCGGTGCTTCAGCCGATGCCTCACCGACCAGTCTAATAGAGCTAGGACCATGACTATGAGCATACCATGCGCACATTCTCTCCCTACTGTGGGAATGACTCTTCCACCTCTACCCGATAATATCTCCCCCTTCCGTCGGCAGCTACGCAGCGCTGGCACGCCGTGGCGACTGGCATTAGTAGATGCAAGGGTATGAGAAGGCAGAGCTGGGGGTGGCTGGCATGCTCGGTGACGTGACTTCCATTATGGATCGCCGTGGCTTTCAAGGCGGCGCTGGCTGTTACATTGCGGCAACAATCATTGGGTAAGTTAGTCTGGCACGGATGGCACGCACGCGCGACAAACTTGCACGTGGGAGAGGTCGGCGGGCAGGTGTGCTGGTGCACGTATGGCGGTGGTGGGGAGCAAAAGCGTGAAGACGGTTGACAGAAACGACCGATGGGTATAGGCTCCCATATCCCAACCTGCGGCAATATGACCAGGAGCGTCAACCCCACCCGATGGCAACTGCGCTACAGGGCTTGGGAACAGGGTGTCTGACCTGCGGGATCGGAGCGAGATGTGGCTGCTGTGCTGCCAGCAACGCTGGCAGTCCAGGGCGCGATGCGGAGTGCTCGTCCTATTCCTGGTGTCCTGGCGGACTGCTGGTGGCCTAAACCTGGGCAGCCAACCGATGGCTGAGCAATTCGGCAATGCATCGAGTTTGGCCGGAGCAATTCGGTTGAATGGGGCTCATGATGATGATGATGATGATGATGATGCTGATGATGATGATGATGATGATGATGATGATGATGATGATGATGAGCCCGCTCACCCACCCGGAAGATGATGTGGAGAAGCAAACCAGCCCCAATGATGTTTTGCCCGCTATGGACATTGCGCTTCCTGACTTGCACAGAACTGCGCGCGAGCGGGCTGCAGGGAAGCACGGCCGTCGAGGCGGCACGTGCTGATGTCGAATGAGCTGCGATGCGCAACTCATAGGACAATAGTCGTACACGAATGTGCCTGTAAGCTGGCGGAGTGTTGGAACTCATTGCAAAGGCTGGTGAAGGCTGGCAACTAACGGCAGGTACGCTGGATGCCGAGGGTCGGGATGGGAGAGGGCTGGCAAGGTGGAAAGAAGCCTAGCCTAGAAGCAAGTTAGGACGTAGTCTCCTCCGCCTGCACCTCCTTCCCGTCCAGCTGCGCTTCCTTTCCTCATCGTCATCACCCTCATCCTGGCCTCTCCTGGCCTCTCGTTCTTTCCGTCTCCCCTCCCTCCTTTCCTCCCTCTTCTCCCTTCTCCCCCTCGTCTCCTCCCCCCCATCCCATCCCTCGACTCCTGCCCTCCCCATCCGCAGATCGTGAGCGAGAAAAGCATTTGTGAGCCTGGGTCCGGCCCCTCCGCGGCACACATGCCCCCCACTTCTGTGACCGATCTCTGCTGTCCGCTGTGCCTCGGCACATCATGGACTCGAGACTGCTGCGATAAACGATCCGTTTCACGCTGGGTCTACGGATCTCCCGAGCAGACACAAGTGACTCCACTGCCAAATCCAAAGATGGTTCTAATGGAAGGCGCATGATCTGTAGGAGCTGGGGCCTAGGCTACGTAATACAAATTGTCCCGCTGCGACTGATTCAAATAATAGATGCAAGGAACGCCCCTGGACCGCACAAGCGAGACTCTATACAGCGTCATCTGGTTTAGAGAGCGGCGGCACGACGCAGAGCGTTATCGATAAGAGAACAGCCCAGTTCTGAAATCGCGGTAGGCTGCGAACTTCCACGCCTCCATCTCGGCGGCCGGGTCCTCCACCCAATGGAAGAACAACGGGTGGCTTGACCTAATCTTGAACGTCGCCTCCGCCTGACTGGGCCGCGCTCAAAAATCTGTTACCCCGATACCAACACACCGAGGCTGAACACGCATGGATCTCCGGTCTGCGGAAGCGGCGCCTTGCTCCTTGCTGAAGGCCGAATCCCCAACGAGGATCCAACAACTCAACCTCTCCGAGGTCGAACCTGGTCATGGAGCTGCCCGCGGGCCGCTACTCTCTGGAGCACTCCGAATGTCTGGGCTCAATCGGCCCGTGCACCTCCCCTGCCCGCTCCACGAACATGCCTCCGACTTAGCTGCCCCGATACGCAACACGCAACACGGGGCGTATTGATGCGGAGCTCAACACGTAGGCTGAAAACGTAGGTCCAACGCGATACACTCGCCAAAACGTGGCCCAATACGTGGAGCCAACACGCAACGTATTTCGGGTCGGGCGAAAGGGGGGGATAGCAAAGGGGGGGGGTTGAGAATCAGCTCACGTAGCTGATTTTCCCGGCGCCTCCCGGCGCCGGAGGCGGCTATGTATCGAGGAATGGGCCCCTCGGTGAGGCCGAAACCAGCTGCATGCAGCAGATTTCGTACCCCTCCCCTTTCCCAATCCCCCCCTTTCGTCCGGCCCGACAACACGCAACGTGTTGACACGGACGTCTTGAGCACGGGACGTATTGCGTATCCAAACGGGCGCATCGAGTCAACTAGGGCCCCCGATGCTCTTGATGGATGGCCTATCGGCTCTCCGCCAGCCTGCTCCGCCGCGCCGCGCGACAGAAGGGATGCCATCCCAGGGCCCGGGAGCCCAACAACCGACGGCTCCAAGCCTCCTCTAGATTTAAGTCGGGCGTGTCCCCCTACGGGGGGATTTTCCACGAGAAATAAAAAAGACTCAAAAATGCACCACAACGGTCAAAAAATACTAAAAAAATAATCCCCAGACTTTTTTTATACTGTTTTGGAATATGTTTTATTCTTCGTCGAAAATCCCCGTGTAGGGGGACAGGCCACGGCAATCTTGCCAACTACTCGTGCGCGACCGCTCGGAGCGTCGCTCTTCTGAGGCTGCTGCCCACATTCAGCAAGTGCCACAGTTTGCCAGACTGGGACCTCGCACCCGTCGGGCGACTCGCAACACTGCCATGCAACGGAGGTCGCCTTCGCGTCCCCGTGCCTCAGCAACCCTGCGAGAACAAAAATGCCCCACTATCCACAATGCAATCGATGGTGCCTTCCCCTCTCCTCTCCTTCGCAGCAAGGGGTGGCGGCGTGGAATGCAAACGATAAGGTAGGTTCGTGCGGCGTCGGCGCGCGCAGAAATTTTCGACAACGCGTCGATCGTTCAATCTTGAAGCGGTCGCAACCCCGAACGTTCAAGGTTGATTTCCGCCGGGTCCAGTGGCGTTACCGTGTCCCTCGGTGCTTCCGCGTCGCATGATTCAACCTTGAACGCCTTCGACGGCGTCGCTGGTGCGCCAACGCCGCATGAACCTACAGTAAGGAGGAAGGGCCCGCCCATGCAACATACTTACAACATTACACCAGAGGACAAAAACAATCAATGGATGGTTTGAACATTATATTGAGGCCGATTGTGACGGGCTTGCACACGCGCTTGGGTGCGTTAGTTTCGCGCGTTGCTGCGTGGTGCTGCGTAAGCCATCGTTAGCCAGCCAGGGGAAAGGGAAGAGGAGAAAGGCAATTTTCGGCCCCCGGGACCGTCACTATCTGATCTGGGATCTGGAAACCGCAAGGAGCCCGATAACCTGCATCCTCCAACCTGGACCCTCGAACGTCATCCCTCGACCCTCCTTTTCCTCCTCCTTCTCCTCTTCCTCCTCCTGAGGGTGGAGATGTGTTGGTTTCGTGTTGGATGTGTATCAGTTTGGGGCCCTCTGGGGCGCACATGAGACCGTATTGGGGCCGATCTGTTCACTTTGGGGGGCGTCTGGGGGGGGCGGGGGGGCGGCTCGGAAGCCCATAGAGGTCATCTTGGGCAGCTTGGGGGTGGCTACTGTGAGGCTCCTCGGCGCTTTCCTCAAGCCCTCCCAGGTCCCGAGGAGAACATCGGATGCCTTCAGAGGGTGCCGCAAGGTAGCACCATCAACGCCTGAAGAGAGCCCACGCCGGGCACAATACAAACACGACGCCGACACAGATCTCATGCCAT